AATAGGCGGAGCATTAAAAAACTCCTGCAACAGATTTTCATCTTTATTCTCTCGTCTTAGAACAAAAGCAGTTCCTACTGAACTTCTCAACTGCAGATACCTCCAGAAATCCCCTTTACATAGTTGCTCTTACATAAACACATTCTCTGAAAAATAAAATAGTTGTTATATATTAAAGAAATATAAAGCTGACTAATAGCTTCTCCATTATTAAACCAGTAAAAAAATGTTTAGGTTTATGACACAATGTAGAACGATGCACACAGATTTACCTTCACAAAGCCTCAGAAGGGCAACGTTTACGTACAACCTGCACATGAAATGATATTTTGTTTTCACAAAGTATTTATTATATTATTCTTTTGTTGTTGGCATTTATATAATTATAATGGTGTGATAGCTTAGTATACCTTTGATTGGTTTTTGGTGTACGTCTTTTTTGAATGTATAGCGCCCCCTGTGTTAAACTCCACCAGCCGCCACTAATATTAGTTATAAAGCTAAGCTTAGCTTAGCTCCTGGCCTAGCTTCTCTCTCCCGAACCCAAGCGAACTTTCACCCCCCATCTCAGACTGTTCTCAGCCCATGCAATCAGCCGGTTTTCCTTAGATAGAAATATTGTAAAGAATATGATTGGGTTACTTGTATAAATAAAAATATCAGAAAAATCTACTTGAGTACAGTAACGAAGTATTTGTACTTCGTTACTTCCCATCTCTGGCTTTAAGTAAGACTGGAATCAAAATGTCTCTTCTGTTCAGTCTGCAAAACTACTGACATTAGTAGTTTAAAACCAAATATTTCTCTGCAGTTTCATTTCTTTCCCGATTTTAATTTTAATTTTTCATTTTCAAATATTTTCTTTCAAATTGCGAAATTAAATTGAGTTTTATGCTTTAAACGCAAATATTTTTGAGCAAACTTTATGGCCCAAATTTAGCTCCATAATCAAACTGGACGGTTTCTGAAGTCCATGAAAAGCCTCGACTGGTAAAACTATGTACACCGTTCTATTCAATGTTTTTTTGTTTGTTTTACAGCCTGTATTATCCTGTAACATACAGAACCCCACATAGTACCCAAAAAATAAGATAATCAGATATTAAACACTTAAAAATAAGATCATGCTTTTTTCTTATTATTTTAACAGAAATTTTCTTTTTCAATTGGCCTTACTTACTTACTTACCTGCTCAACACAAGAGAAAAGCCACCTATTTCAACAAAAATTGCATTTCATTTTTGCAATACCTCAGTTTTTATTATACTATTATCTTGAACAAGTGTAAAATCCTAAACAAGTGTTTTTTACTGCTTTTTGAACAACTTTTTCTAACCCTGTAATGCATGCAAGTGATAAAAATAAAGCATAAAACAAATCCTGTTGGCTTTTCCTCTGTTTTATTGGGCTTTCTGTTTGCAGTGTGGGGCTGAACAGCTGTGTTTGCAATATAATCCCAACAAAAAAAAAATCCCAAAGTCACTGGATGCAAAGGGAAATTAAATGGGGCTACTCAGTGCAGCAGTTGCAGCAAGAATGTTCTGGGTTCAATTCCCAGCCCAGGGTCTTTCAGCGTGAATGTGTGGGTCTCTCCTTAGGTGTGTGTGTGAATGGTTGTTTGTCTCTGTGTTGCCCTGCGATGGACTGGCGACCTGTTCAGGGTGGAACCCGCCTCTCACCTGTGGACAGCTGGAGATAAATACCAGCACCCCTCGCCACCCTGCTTGGAATAAGCATGACAAAAAATTGGATGGATGGAAATTAAATGTTTCAATAACTCATACATTACTTTTATCTAGGTGTTGATGCTGTAGGCAGGAAGGATCTCCTGTAGAGCTCTGTCTTGCACCAAATCTGGAGAAGCCTCTGACTGAAGACACTCATTGTTGGTGTTTAACAGTCTGATGCAGAGGATGCTCACTGGCGTCTATTATCTTCTTTACTTTATGAGGAATTCTTTGTGAAATAATCTCCAGAGGTTCTAGAGCAGAGGTCACGGATCCGGACCCAACCTGATTTAAAACAGAAATTACTGCATGTTGTCTGATGACAGTGTCTAATTTGCCTTGCGCCTCTTCTCCTGTTAATACGGTAAAGCCCTGGGGAGCGTCCGGCTCCAGGCTGCACGTGATCCAAATGAGCCAATGAGCTGTCAGTCTGGGTTGCTGCTGCTGCTACTTTTAGACACAGCAGGCAAACCTGTGGCAAGCCGGGCGATGGGAAAGAAGGAGAAGACCATGAGAAAAAGAGAGCAGAGAAAGTGTGGACTGCTGGAAGAACTGCGGTGAACTGGTGAAAGAAAAGTGAAATGGCGTGCTCAAAGATGACCCTGCACATTTAGAGGATGTTTGGCTCAACCTGCTGCTGTGAAGCAGGATTCTCCACCATGAACAGAATCAACAATAAATCTGGATCCAGGCTCAAAATGAGCTCCTTGATATGTGCTTGAGAATGGCTTAGTCTCCGGTTAAACCCAGGTTTAAAGCCTTGCAGGGCAGCCTAAAGCCCACTGCCAACATTAAGACAGAAAAAAGAAAGAAAATAACAAACGCTCAGTTCAGGGGTTTGAGAAAATATGGGAATCAGGAAATTATCTATAAACCAAACTGAACGATTGTCCTCTACTTGAAAAAAACAACTAGATTTTAAAATGGAAAAACGTTCAATTTGTATGTATAACATGGATGCATAAAAGCTAATTTCAGTGTTAAATTCGGTTTAAAGAAACAGATTAAAAATGTCTCCGCACCTGTTCTGGCTGTTGATTTTCTTTGTTCGGAATGCACAGATTTTTAATTTGTTACCTCTGTTATAGAGGAATTTCAGGTCAGGTAGTCTTTGATCCAGGTTACTGTTGACTAACCTGACTCCGCCAGATGGATTTGCTCCGCATATCCATCTGGAAACCTTCCGTTGAAGTAATTTTGGGAAGGGGCGAAAATACTGGTTAGCTGATTGGCCTATGTTGGTGATAGACGGGCCAAATAAACCAATCAGATCAACGAAGCATATGACGTACTAACAGAGCGATGACGAAGAGGAGCCAATTGATTAGAGGTGAGTATTGGCATGAGTGTTGCGATTCGATACATGTCGCGATACTTGGGTCACGATACGATATTATAAAGATATTGCAGTATCACCATATATTGCCATATTTTCCCCAGCTATCAAAATCAAATGATGAGATAAAACAGCAAGTGCTGTATATTTTCATCAGAAAATATTGATTAGGTATTATTATCCATGTTGTTTGGGGTTTTCTTCCACTGTGACTGCCTCAAATACAGATTTGGTGCTGCACGCACAGTTAAAGGGCTCCACAGCGCTTTCTGCCAGAGTGGTGGTGCAGAGGTAGCCCATTTTCCCATCAATGTTTTATGTAACCATTTTTTTTTTTGAAAATCGATACTAAGAAGTGAAAGATCGATATTATATTGGGCAGCCGAATATCACGATATATTGCCAAAACGATTATTTCCCACACCCCTACAATTGATAGATCAAACTCTTGCCGAAACCAGTCGGGAGAAGAGCAAAAACATCTTTTCCTCTGAGAAAAGCCTCCAGAGCAGTGTTTTGCTCTTCTTTCAGTGAAGAAATACTCTGCAATTCCGATAAAACTTGCTCGATAGCCACGCTAACGCTAGTTTCATTGGCTGAAGCCGCCATGTTCTTTAGACTGAACTGTCACGCTTCTCGTTGCGTCACACCTAAACCCGCCTCAAAGCCAACGCTGATTGGACGTTCGTTTGGTGAACGGCTCCAAATTTTCTTCAACGGAGAGTCTCCAGACTGATCTGCGAGTGAAATCTTGAAAGATCGCGAGATCAGGATGGTCTCACGAGGCTAAATGTTGATGCCTCCACCCGAGTCTTCTGGAGTTTCTCCGAAGTAAATCAGGCTAAATGGTGTTAAATGTTCTAGAGAAGTCTGATCTTTGCTTAGGTTATATTTATTGAGAGTAAGACGCAGACCTTCTCACTCCTGTCCTTTAGGTGGCGGTAATACATTTAAATTAGGTCTGCTGACACACAGATAGTGATGGTGAGATGAGGCCTCATGAGGCATTGAACCATTTGGGCTAATTGCTTTAACAATCCCCCACAGTTCATGAGGCTTCAGTGAACATGTCACCACCTACTGGTGGAGTGCAGAACTACAGTCAGTAATACTTTTTTTTTTTTTTTTTTGCAATTGTTTTTCTTTTCCCATTTAAGTTCCTTTTAAATTCTTAATGATCGGCGTGTACGATAAAATCTTTGTACGTTTTTTCGTAGTGTAAAATGTCTTAGAGGAGAACAATCATTTAAGGTACACAGTTCACTGGAAAAAAGTCACTTTTTCTTCAAATAACTGCACTTGTTCTTGAATTGAGGACGTAAAAGATGCTAACTGGTTAGCAAGATGCTTTCTACAAACCGGCCACATCTTCTATCTGTGGCCCTTTTCATAGAACTTTAACCAGTAACTAACTGGGTTAACTGGCCGACCAATTTACCAGATCAATACCTGGCATTAGTTTTACTATATAACTGCCCACCGTTAGTAGAGGTGATACGTTAGTGATCAACTTAAACTCATTTTCTCTTGGCGGGGCTTAGATTAAGTGGTCTGGAATGATGACTAATAGCTTTCCTGCCTGACAAAATAATCCCAGCAGATGCATTTAGGAACCGTGGGAAATAGAAATGTATTTAAAGCATCATCAATATTCTATGTTTATGTGATTGGTTTAAAAATGTTATTTTTTTATCTTCTATTTTTGGTTTGTTAAAAAAATTATTTAAAATTTTTAATCCATCTAGTTTAAAAAATGCTTTTCACTTTTAAACTGTTTTTGTTTTACTTTCCAAAAAGATTTTCTGTTTCAAATGATTTTTTTCTCAGTTTAAGCAAAAAGGTGTTTTAGAATAAACTTTCTGGCCCAAATTTAGCTCCATAAAAATCAACAAAGGTCCAGTTTGGATTGTAAAAATTGACAACAGCAACAAAAGGGAAATAATTTAAGATTTATTTTACAAAAACAAACAAGGACAGAACAAATTCTGTAGAAATGAAAGCATTAAAATAATTTCAGAATTTTTTTTAAACATGATATTTTTAATCACGTGGTTAAAAAAAAGCACTTCATGATGAATATGAACATTTATGCACAGACTGACTTCATTTTTCAGCCTTCTTCTCTTTACATCTGCAGTTCATCTGCCCAGTGGCTCTGCAAGAAGAAACACAAATGATCAGGAAACATTTATCTATGGGGAGAAACATGTTCCAATATTATTTAGACCAAAAAAAAAGTTTAACAAAAGGGAAATGTGAATAAAATGCATGTTTTTGTTTTTTTTATGTAATTTTAAAAAGATTTTAATTTCAACGTTTTTCTTTTTTCTATTTTATTATAATTTTATTTTTCTAATATTTGGGGGGAGACTCAGGGTGAATTGAATCGATCCTTCGAAGTCCGTGAAAATAAGGAGAAAGGAAGAGTTTTGGCTGTGAATTCAAACAGGTCTACCCTTTGGCAGGTTTTACTGCCATACAATCTGTCGCTTAGCAACTGTGACAGTTGACACACAAAGCAGGAAAAGAATAAACACAATAAACTGTTTCTTTTAAATTTTTTTTATTGTAAAGTGAACAAGACTGATGAGAATCCAGAGTGGAATAAAGGTTCCAACCACCGGGAGCAGGAACAAATCAAATCAAATGTAATGATAGAAATCTTAGGCCCCGTCCACACGAAGTCAAAACGAACACGAAACGCTAATATTTTCCAAAACGTTTGTCGTAAAGACGCAGACGTAAAATAAATGTGATCGTCCACACAAATGCATGAAAACGCTGCAAAATGTATGCCAGGCCTGTAAGTGGCGCTGTGGTGCCAAAGCAAAAATAAGCGACGAAATGTTGGGCATGCGCACTAATATTTATACATGGTTGCCCTGCGGGTCCATTTTCGTGGTTCAGTCAAATTCAGGTGCTGAACTATGTGGTCGATATTGCTCTGTTCTTCCTGGAGATATTCCAGAAGAAGAAGATTCTGTTGTAAGCCCGACAGCAGGGTGTGTAGCATGAGCAGCAACCATTCAACACAGTACGGCGCCATTGTTGTTGTGATACTGTGTCGCGCATGCGTGTTTAGAGGCGACGCTATGACGCATGCGTGTAAGAAAAAAAATCCGGTTAGAGCTTAAAGATGGAAACGCGAAAACTGCGTTTCAAAATCTTCCCACTCTGAAGGCTGAATAAAAAAAAGATCGTTTACAGACCCCCGAAACGCCGGCTTCGTATGGATGAGAGGCTGGTTAGGTGAAAAATTTGTGCGTTTAGGCCAGGGTTTGACTTCGTGTGGACGGGGCCTTAGTCAGTTAAATAACCTGCTGCTGTCATTCTGCACATCTCTGATGTTGCTGCTATTTTCAAATATCCATCACTGTAAAAATGTCCATAGCTGCATATTGGTTATTAATTCTCCAGTTTTATATTGTTAAAACACTTTACAGAATTGTATTGTTTATATTTCAATTCTTTACTATTATGTTATTCTTATACATTTTTCTAAGGTCCACATTTGTGTGACCATTTTTTCTATATCTTTTTGCTGCTATAAACACCAGAATTTCCCCATTGTGGGACAATAAAGGGATTCTCTATTCTATTCTATTTTGTTCTATAAAAGGAGAAGTAGGATATAAGTAAATCTAAACAATGTGTGTATAAAAATATATCTGCAAAATCTCATATTCAACAACAAAAAATATTTATTTAAGCAAATTGTGCAAAATAGCATTAAAAGAATAAAAATATCAGATTTATAGTTTCCACTCTGTAGATATATTAGAATCTGTCCTTAAATTACAGACAAACCCATTTACACAGTAACAGATAAAAACCTTTAGATAAATCAAACATTACCGCCACATATCTGACTCTATAACCATTAAAACAACTATTTTGCTTCAAATCGGTCTACAAAGGAGGACGTATTTGTCGGCCACAAAACGAGGAGTGTTGGAGTCCAGACCTTGGCGCATACACATGTGTATATACATATATATATATATATATACATATATATACAGGGCTCGATGTTAACCATCGCCCGATCTCCCGGTGCAAGTAGTTTTTATTGTTGGGAGAGTACAAATTTCATTGCATTTGCCCGCCGGGCATCACTCAAAATTACTTTAAAATCACTGACATTCGATGAATGTCAGTGAAGCGTTTCCGGCGCCATTTTTGTTGTTTTGTACACATTCTTGCGTGATTTGAAAAAGGTGTGTAATTTGGAAAAGCCGCATGATTTTCCACCAGATGGCGTGATGTTCGTCCGGGAATTGGTCGCGAATCAGACACAGTTTTTTTCGACTTGGCAGGCTAAAAAACAACAACAAGGCAAAAAAAATAATAAACGATACAGGAACAATAGGCCTTTGCAGCGCTGTCGCTGCTCGGGCCTAAAAATGTAAGTACAGTAACACACCCACCACCCAGATAACCCTAGATTAAAAATTATTGGTCAGGGATTAGGAAAATTGGCATAATTGTATGCCATGCGCACAGTGTAAATATGGCTATCATATGGCAGTCTTCTGTACAGTGATGCGGGTCATACATTAAAACATTTTCATTAAATTTTTACTCTTAGACATTGGAGAGGTGCATTTAAATGTTATAGAGCTAAACATGTTAGATTGGTGACCTATTATGTTATTATTATTGTCTTGTTGCTGCATTTATTTTGTCAGGGAAAACTAATCCTGAGTCAGTTAAAAGTCAGGGAATTCTGAAATGTCAGACTGTGGAAACCCTGAATAAAATAACTATAATGATTCTCTAGAAAAGTCACATTATATTAATAGTATTATCTTGTATAAACATACCGTGACTCTAAAATAAAAGTTATTCATTAGTGACATTGACTTCTGTCTCCTGATTTATCTTAAGTTTTTAACCTGTCAAGTTTTTTTTTTTGAATTATTAACATTACAATTTATATTTTTCCAAGCAAACAACAGTTTAAAGCAAAGTTTAGTTTGAAAAGAATGTGCAGGAAGGATTGAAAAGCATGTTAACACGGTAATGTAGGCTTGAGTTCATTATCTGACGCATGCAGATACACACCAGGAACCTGGAAACTTAAAAAATACTGAATTACAAAAAACATTTAAAAAAACAAACATGTTTCATTGATATATATATACAAAAATGAATATTAGGAACTATATTTATCAAACATTATACTGGGCAAGTAAAAATTGTTTCTGGGCAAATTAAATGTGAAAGTCACTTACCCAAAGAGCAAGTGGTAAAAATCCTTTACGTCAACCCCTGATATATATATATATATATATATATATATATATATATATATATATATATATATATATATATATATATATATATATATATATACATACATACACATCTTTACTCTCCACAGCCTGCATTCTCTAGATTTTTCTCCACCTCAAGCTTCTTTTCTGAACATGCAGCTTTACGATCAACCGGAAACACTTCCAGGAAAATATATCACAATATATATATATTTTTTTAGTAAAGGATTTTCAATGCCACGATAATCACATTTAATGAATTTTAATGCCATTTAAGGCCTTAATCTAAAAAAAATTTATAATTTAATGACTGTTTAGATATTTTATGAAACCCTGAAATTTCAATTTCATTTTTTTCCTTATAGAATCTGAAACATATTTGAAAACCATAAAATTTGAAAAATAAAATCTGAAAGAATCAATCCTGACATATTGGTTGAATTTTTGCTTACAATTTTTTTTCAAAGCTCCATTTTATAGACATGGATATTCCTCCACTTTATTTTTCTGAAAATATTTTTTTTCCAGTAATATAACAGAAATTCTCTCCATAGCTTCCAGGTTGTTTTTTTTTTTTCCCTGAAGCTTTGATCCTACCTGTGATGCAGACGGAGCGACGTCCTCCAGGTCTCCCAAGCAGCCTTGCTTGTAACGAACGAGGCTCCCCCACAGCAGCGAGCGGCGGCAGGACGGACAGCGTCCCTCCACAGGCAGCAGGCTGGACGGCTCCGACCTCAGGAAATATCTGGCCAGGCAGATTAAATGGCTGCTCATCTCACACGACGGGTGGAAGCAGCTCAGCTTCTCCGACACCTGGAGGAAAAAAGGACCAAAGCCGTCAGACGTGGATGGATCTAAATATTTATTCCATTAAATTCTAGTTAAGTTCAAATAACAATAAAAGCTGGAAAAGATCCTGAGCTGAGAATAAAAAACAACAATTTAGAAAGTGGCTTTCAGCTGTCTGACATTTAATGGCTCATGTTACCATACCATACCATACCAACTTTATTTATGAAGCACTTTATACACCGAACAGGACCAAAGTGCTGTACACAATCATAAAATACAATAAAATTATAAAATAGAGAAAAAACGAGTGTAAAATACATATTAGTATACAAAAAGAATAAAACAAAGTAAAACGTCTCAAATTGTGTCAAAAGCCAAGGAAAAAAGATGAGTCTTAAGAAGGGACTTAAAAACAGCAAGAGAAGAGGCCTGTCTTATGCTCAGAGGCAGATCATTCCACAGCTTAGGAGCTGCCACAGAAAAAGCACGGTCTCCTCTGAGCTTGCATTTCGTCTTTGGGACCCTCAGAAGCAACTGATCAGCTGACCTGAGGGAACGGGAGGGTGTATAAGAATGTAACAGCTCAGACAGATAAGAAGGAGCAAGGCCATTAAGAGTTTTAAAAACAAATAAAATAATTTTAAAATTAATCCTAAAATGTACTGGCAGCCAGTGTAAGGAAGCTAAAACAGGGGAAATGTGGTCGAATTTTCGTGTACCTGTTAAAAGACGTGCAGCAGCATTTTGAACCCTCTGAAGATGAGAAATATACAAGTCGCTGACCCCTGTATAAAGTGAGTTACAGTAATCCAGCCGTGTCGTCACAAATGCATGGATCACTGTTTCGAAATGCTGTCTGGAAAGAATGGGTTTTACTTTTGCTAGCTGCCTTAAGTGGAAAAAGCTGGACTTTATAACGGCTCTGATGTGCGCTTCCATTTTAAGACCAGCATCCATCTTAACCCCTAAATTTGTAATAACCGGCTTAACGTACTGAGCCAAGGAGCCAAGACTGGTCACGGAATCAGCAGTGGATCTGCCAAAGATCATTACGTCCGTCTTGTCCTCATTGAGTTTTAAAAAATTTAGGGCCACCCAGGCCTTCACATCTTCAAGACATAAAAACAGAGACCGAAGAGAGGTGGAGTTTACATTCTTTAGCGGTAAGTATATCTGTGTGTCATCTGCATAGCAGTGAAAGGCAATCCCATGTTTTCTTAAAATAGAGCCGAGCGGAAGAAGGTAAAGTGAGAAAAGGAGCGGGCCTAGCGGGCCTAGAACTGAGCCCGCTCCTGTTGAATCAGGAAATCACTGCTTATCGATTTGTAGAGACGAGTTAGTTTTACGAGTTTTTATTTCATCCAGGGGCGGATTTAGGAAATTTGGGGCCCTGGGCAAAGACAGGCAGGGGGCCTCTGGATTGAGAAGTCAACACATTAAACAGACCCATTATACAGATAGAGAAATTTTAAAAGAAAAGACATCTATTATTTTTTCTAGGTTTTGTCCCTCTCTAAGCCCATTCTCACTTAGCTGATTGCTCCTTCCGGTGTTTCCAAAAAGGCCAAAGTAAATAACCCAGTCCTTCTTTTCACTGTAGACAAGCCATGATCTATGGAAGACGATTAGGGCCACTGAAAAAATAAAAAAAGTTAATTGATTTTGTGATTTTATTTTAGTGTACTATGAAAAAAAAAGTCAGAATTCTGACTTTAATCTTAGAATTCTGACTGAATTCTGACAGCTAACAAACATGTTAGCATCAAGCCGTAGCCATGTCTATTTTATAGACTATCTCTCTGGTTTTAATCACCTTCTGCTCTTCCATTATAAAATAGAATCAGCAGGGACGGAAAAAGTTGCATAATTCCATAATTTTCCACCAATGTGTTCCTGTTCCTCCCAAACTACTCACATCTTTGTCAGTGAAGCTGAGTGCTCCACATCTCTGCCTTCATGGTGCCCATCTACATTAAGATCCAAAATTCTGAGATTAAAGTCTGAATTCTGAGATTAAAGTCTGAATTCTGAGAAAAAAAAGTCAGAATTCTGAGAAACAAAAGTCTGAATTCTGAGATTAAAGTCTGAATTCTGAGAAAAAAAAAGTCAGAATTCTGAGAAACAAAAGTCTGAATTCTGAGATTAAAGTCCGAATTCTGAGATTAAAGTAATTCGGACTTCAGAATTCTGAGAAAAAAAGTCTGAATTCTGAGAAAAAAAGTCTGAATTCTGAGATTAAAGTCTGAATTCTGAGATTAAAGTCAGAATTCTGAGATTAAAGTCCGAATTCTGAAATTAAAGTAATTCGGACTTCAGAATTCTGAGAAAAAAAGTCTGAATTCTGAGATTAAAGTCTGAATTCTGAGATTAAAGTCTGAATTCTGGTAAGAAAGTCTGAATTCTGAGAATAAAGTAATTCTGACTTCAGAATTCTGAGATTGAAGTCAGAATTCTGAGAAAAAAAGAGTCCGAATTCTGAGATTAAAGTCCGAATTCTGTGATTAAAGTCCGAATTCTGAGATTAAAGTAATTCGGACTTCAGAATTCTGAGAAAAAAAGTCTGAATTCTGAGAAAAAAAGTCTGAATTCTGAGATTAAAGTCTGAATTCTGGTAAGAAAGTCTGAATTCTGAGAATAAAGTAATTCTGACTTCAGAATTCTGAGATTGAAGTCAGAATTCTGAGGGAAAAAAAGAGTCTGAATTCTGAGAATAAAGTCTGAATTCTGAGAATAAAGTAATTCGGACTTCAGAATTCTGAGAAAAAAAGTAGGAATTCTGAGAAAAAAAAGTCTGAATTCTGAGATTAAAGTCTGAATTCTGAGATTAAAGTCTGAATTCTGGTAAGAAAGTCTGAATTCTGAGAATAAAGTAATTCTGACTTCAGAATTCTGAGATTGAAGTTAGAATTCTGAGAAAAAAAGAGTCCGAATTCTGAGATTAAAGTCCGAATTCTGAGATTAAAGTCCGAATTCTGAGATTAAAGTAATTCGGACTTCAGAATTCTGAGAAAAAAAGTCTGAATTCTGAGAAAAAAAGTCTGAATTCTGAGAATAAAGTCTGAATTCTGAGAATAAAGTCTGAATTCTGAGAATAAAAAAGTCTGAATTCTGAGATTGAAATCAGAATTCTGACTCTTCCTGACTCTAACTTTTTTATATTTTTTCAGTGGCCCTAATCCTCCTCCGTAATGATCCGTTTATCTGTTCTCCATTTTTCATTTGAATGAAAAAATAGCTGGAAGTAAATATCAGTCCGTCTCCATTTCACAGTTCACCATTTGAAAAAACACCTAAAAGCCTGAAGTTTTCCACTTTAACATGAGAAAAAAGAATAATAAAAACTGGTCGTCTGTAACAAATACAAACAAAAACATAATTTTAAAATGACCTATCTTCAATATGGTAAATAATTACTTATCAATATAAGGGGACGTCCCTTTCTAAGGTTTAATGCTGAGACACACTTAATATTATAAGCATTCTGACCAGGGGCGGTTCTAGACCAAATATACCAGGGAGGCGGCCAGCATGTTTTCATGGGGGCCCAGAAAAGCATGAAACAAAAAACAGGGGATTCAGATATATTAAGAGAGCTGCATGAAATGAAATTTCCATTCAATTAGGTTTAGGTCTTCCAATTGAAAATATTTATTTTTGGCTTAAAAATATTCATTTGGATTATCGTTAAAATCAAAATAGAATCTCTTAGCATAGCAAAAAAGCAACTCAAAAATTGTAGCAATATAAATATCTAAAAGATCAAATAAAGCTATTATTTGGAATATTAGGTCAATATTAGGGCTGGGCGATATAGAAAAAAAGCTTATCGATAAAAAAAAATGCATATTGATCGATGTCGATAATTATTGAAAAGATTTGAAACCATATTTTATGTGCAGCTCTGCCTGGACTTTTTATAATATTGCTAAATGATTTAATTTTAATAAAAAAACACAAACACAGACTTCCAATTAAATATTTATTTAACCAACTTCGTCTCGTCTCGTCTCGCCTCGTCGTCTCCCGCTTTATCCGGAACCGGGTTGCGGGGGCAGCAGACTAAGCAGAGACTCCCAGACTTCCCTCTCCGCAGACACCTCCTCCAGCTCTGTTGGGGGAAGCCCTAGACGCTCCCAGGCCAGCCGAGAGACATAGTCTCTCCAGCGTGTCCTGGGCCATCCCCTGGGCCTCCTCCCGGTGGGACATGCCTGGAACAGCTCCCGAGGGAGGCGTCCAGGGGGCATCCGAAGAAGATGTCCGAGCCACCTCAACTGACTCCTCTCGATGTGGAGGAGAACCGGCTCTACATTGAGCCTCTCCCGAATGACCGAGCTCCTCCCCCTATCTCTAAGGGAGAGCCCAACCACCCTGCGGAGAAAGCTCATTTCAGCCGCTTGTATCCGGGATCTCGTTCTTTCGGTCATGATCCAAATTTCATGACCATAGGTGAGGGTAGGAACGTAGACCGACCGGTAAATTGAGAGCTTTGCCTTTTCGCTCAGCTCTCTCTTCACCAGGACAGACCGGTGCAGCGTCCGCATTATTGCAGCAGCCGCACCGATCTGTCTATCGATCTCCCGCTCCATTCTTCCCTCACTCGTGAACAGGACCCCAAGATACTTGAACTCCTCCACTTGAGGCAAGGACTCCCCTCCAACCCGAAGGGGACATGCCACCTTTTTCCGGTCGAGAACCATGGCCTCGGATTTGGAGGAGCTGATTCTCATCCCAGCCGCTTCACACTCGGCTGCGAACCGCCCCAGCGCACGCTGTAGGTCTTGGCAGGAGGGAGCCAGCAGAACTACGTCATCCGCAAAAAGCAGGGACGAGATCCGCTGTTCCCCAAACCAGACCCCCTCCAGTCCTTGGCTGCTCCTAGAAATCCTGTCCATAAAAGTTATGAACAGGACCGGTGACAGAGGGCAGCCCTGTCGGAGTCCAACATGCACCGGGAACAGGTCCGACTTAATGCCGGCAATGCGAACCAGACTCCTGCTCCGCTTGTACAGAGAACGGATGGCCCCTAATAAAGGGCCCCCGACTCCATACTCCTGGAGCACCCCCCACAGGGCAGCACGAGGGACACGGTCGAATGCCTTCTCCAAGTCCACAAAACACATGTGGACTGGTTGGGCAAACTCCCATGAACCCTCAAGCACCCTGCAGAGGGTGTAGAGCTGGTCCACCGTTCCACGGCCAGGACGAAAACCACACTGCTCCTCCTGCAGCCGAGGTTCGACAATCAGCCGGACTCTCCTCTCCAGCACCCTGGCATAGGCCTTTCCGGGGAGGCTGAGAAGTGTGATTCCCCGATAGTTGGAACACACCCTCCGGTCCCCCTTCTTGTGGAGGGGAACCACCACCCCAGTCTGCCAATCCAGGGGAACTGTCCCCGACCTCCACGCGATGTTGAAGAGACGTGTCAACCATGACAGCCCGACAACAACCAGAGCTCTGAGATACTCAGGACGGATCTCGTCCACCCCCGAAGCCTTGCCACCGTGGAGTTTTTTGACTACCTCGGTGACTTCAGCCCGGGTGATGGACGAACCAAGCCCCAAGCACCTCGTCTCTTCTTCCCCCACGGTAGGCATGTCTGTCGGGTTGAGGAGATCCTCAAAGTATTCCTTCCACCGCCCGACAATATCCTCCTTCAAGGTCAGCAGCTCCCCACACCCACTAAAAACAGTGTTAGTGAAGCACTGCTTTCCCCTCCGGAGGCGCCGGACGGTTTGCCAGAATCGCTTTGAAGCCAACCGATAGTCTTTTTCCATGGCCTCTCCGAACACCTCCCAGGCCCGAGATTTTGCCTCTCCAACCGCCCGGGCCGTGACACGCTTGGCCTCACGGTATCTGCTTGCTGCTTCAGGAGTCCCACAAGCCAGCCAGGATTGATAGGACTCCTTCTTCAGCTTGACGGCATCCCTTACTATCGGTGTCCACCACCGGGTTCGGGGATTGCCACCACGACAGGCACCGCAAACCTTACGGCCACAGCTACGGGCAGCCGCATCAACAATAGAGGCAGAGAACACAGCCCATTCGGACTCCATGTCTCCAACCTCCCTCGGAACCTGAGAGAAGCTCTCCCGGAGGTGGGAGTTGAACACGTCTCTGACCGAGAGCTCCACCAGACGTTCCCAGCAGACCCTCACTACACGTTTGGGCCTGCCGAGTCTTTCAGGCTTCCTCCTCTTCCAGCGTATCCAACTCACCACCAGGTGGTGGTCGGTGGACAGCTCCGCCCCTCTCTTCACCCGAGTGTCCAAGACATGCGGCCGAAGATCAGAAGATACGACTACAAAGTCGATCATCGACCTTCGGCCTAGGGTGTCCTGGTGCCAAGTGCACCGATGGACATCCCTATGCCTGAACATGGTGTTCATTATGGACAATCCGTGACTTGCACAGAAGTCCAATAATGAGACACCACTCGGGTTCAGAGCTGGGGGCCCGTTCCTCCCGATCACGCCCCTCCAGGTGTCACTGTCGTTTCCCACGTGGGCGTTGAAGTCTCCCAGCAGAATGATGGAATCCCCGGGAGGGGCGCTTTCTAACACCCTCCCCAGGGATGCTAAGAAGGCCTGGTACTCCGTACTGCCGTTCGGCCCATAGGCCGAAACAACTGTCAGAGTCCTCCCTTCAACCCGAAGGCAAAGGAGGCGACCCTCTCGTCTACCGGGGTGAACTCCAACACGAGACGGCTGTGCTGGGGGGAGACAAGCAGCCCCACCCCCGCCCTCCGCCTCTCCTCGCGGGTAACTCCAGAGTAGAAGAGAGTCCAGCCTCTCTCAAGGAGCTGGGTTCCAGAGCCCTGGCTGTGCGTAGAGGAGAGCCCAACTATTTCTAGCTGGTATCGCTCCACCTCCCGCACAAGCTCGGGCTCCTTCCCCGCCAGTGAGGTGACATTCCACGTCCCCAGAGCCAGTTTAAGCGCCCGCGGATCAGGTCGCCGAGGTCTCCACCTCTGGCTGCCGCCCAATCCTCTTTGCACCGGTCCCTCATGGTTCCCCCTGCAGGTGGTGGGCCCACTGGGGGATGGCCTCGCGTCGCTACTTCGGGCTGGGCCCGGCCGGGTCCCGCGAGGAAGAACCCGACCACCAGGCGCTCGCCGACGAACCCCAACCCCAGGCCTGGCTCCAGGGTGGGGTCCCGGCTCCGCCGTACCGGGCGACGTCACGTGCCTCGTTTGAGTCCTCGTCATAAGGGTTTTTGAACCGCTCTTCGTCTGACCTGTCACCCAGAGCCTGTTTGCCTTGGGAGACCCTTCCAGGGGCATTTAGCCCCCGACAACATAGCCTCTGGGATCACCCAGGCACTGAAACCCCTCCACCACGTTAAGGTGGCGGTTCAAGGAGGGGTATTTATTTATTTATTGGTATTTATTTAACCAACTTTTTTAACCATAACAGAATTGTTTTAAAGAAAAATAACTTAAGAGACCTGAGTTATGTTATTAAATACTGACAAAGAATAAACTAAAGTGACCAGAAAAGTGACCAAAATAAATATAACCAATAAATAAATGCCCCCCCACCGCCGCCGCCCCCGTTTCCTGCATTAACCTGAGTTATTACTTTGAAGTTTCTGGCCCCTCAGCATTTTTATCTCAATTGTTAGAACTACGTGGGAAACTGCCCAGAACTGAAAATATATATATATTTTCCGAAGATTCCTCGGAGGAGAGCCGCGTCGGGGCCTACACAGCTCGTACTCCTGCGGCTGTGAGCGGCTGAGATGATAAAAAAAAAGTTGGTTTCGTTATCAGACTTCGTTTTCACTGGTTCCCGACACATTTTCCAGATGACTGTGGTTTGTTTTTGGTTCGACTTGCCATGACCGAAATACTGCCAGACTGCCGAACTACAAAAACCCTTCTTTGAAACAATTTCCTCCGCCTCTCCTTGCTGAACAGCTTCATGTGCTCTGTGTTGTGGTTTGAGAGGGCGGCGCTTGGTGACGGCGTGCCTGGGTCCACGATTGTGATTGGTTGGGAGGAAGCAGTGACTAGCATAAACCTATATGCTAGGCTACAATGAGAAGGAAGGAAAACTGCGTTTCTTTTTTATCGAACTTTTATCGAGCCTATTTTTTTCTATTGCGCCACACGTCTATCGATCGATATATATCGTTATTGAATTATCGCCCAGCCCTAGTCAATATACATTCATAATTTAGGAATTTTACATATTTTTTTATTTTCAAGTAAAAATTTTTCTATAAAATTAGACTTAGAACTGAAGAAAAGCTGATAAAGCAGTAAAAATTGGTTTTTAAAATTTGTTTTGAAAAAAACATTCAGCAGATGAAAACTTGGATCATATCTCAATACAACTTTTTAAATAATTAGTCAAATAGAATTTTTTAAGAAAATAAAAAATGAAATAGATCCAAAGGATCTATCAGTAACCATGTCTGTTCCAGTGCATAATATCAGTAGAATATCTTTTAGTATTATGTCTCCAGTACGGGGGCCATATGAGGGCCAGGACATGATCTACAGGGGCACTGGCCCCCGTTGGCCCCTGTCTAGAACCGCTCATGCTTTTGATGGGTTATATATACATATATATATATTTTTATTACATGTTGTATTAACCATATATGTAAAAGGAGTTTTATACCCCATCCCCCCGATTTCGTCACGACTATTACCGTTGCCATCTTCTTGCAGAGAAAGCACGTGGACATCAGCTCTTCCCCTGCAGATGGCGACGGCAGCTTCTTCTTGGCCCTCACGCTGCCGAAGGCGATGGGGATGTGCAGGGGGGGCTGCAGGCCGGGGTCAAAGTCCATCCTGTACTCCTGCCTGAGCCAGCGGGCCGTCAGAGGAAGCCTGCTCCACGGCGCCACCCTCAGCATGTTGGAGACGACGCGCCAGTGGAACTGCAGGCTGCTCTCCTTCTTGGAACGCCGGGAGACGTGGGAAAGCCGTCTGGAGGAGTGGGGGTGCTGCCACGCCCACTCGAACTGACGGGGAAAGATGAGAGGTTTACTTTAACTCATCGCAGCCACAGATACTCTGTAGCCTGTGGGATTTTTTACTCATTTATAAGGTCAGTACATCTCTGAGGTACAAGTACAATAACCCAACTCAACTACTATATATTCTGTACGGAGCCCCTGAAGGGACATGGAGGGAAAAAATTAACTTTTGCGAGATCCCGCAAAACTTTTGCGAGATCCCCAATACTTTTGCGGGATCTCGTAAAACTATTGTGGGATCTCGCAAAAGTAATGGGGATCTCGCAAAACTATTGCGGGATCTCGCAAAAAATAAACTTTTGCGAGATCCCGCCATACTTGTGGTGTAATGCTATGTGACGTCTTTTACTTTGAAAAGCAACAGAATATAGAGCAGGGGTTTTCCGGTCCCTAACAGCTGTTTGTAATTTAAGTGTATGTGAGACAAAAGCTGCAGCTCTGTGTGAGATACTTATCACTAAATAAAAGAACAACTTGACATGGTGTCAGGAGTGGGATGCTGCGCATGAATGGAGAAAGATGAAGAAAAGGGCTAAGAGGAGAAATCGTGCATCAAGCGGATTAAAAGAAAGTTTTGCAAGTAGCTCTGGTGACGAGACGAAAGACAATCAGGCAGAAATGGGGCGACCCACGCCAAGCGCAACGTTCACCATACAACCTCCGGAGCCATTTGATTTCACCAAGCCACAAGAATGGGAACGGTGGATTAGGAGATTCGACCGCTTTCGGCTTGCAAGTAATCTAAACGCAACGCCAGAGGAAAACCAGGTAAATACGCTGGTGTATTGCATGGGCGATGAAGCCGAAGATGTGCTAAAGGGGCTACCGCTAACTGCAGATGCTAGAAACAACTATGCAGACGTGAAAGCAGGCTTTGATGCATTTTTTGTACCTAAAAAGAATGTCATATATGAGAGAGCCAAGTTTAATCAGCGCGTGCAATTGCCAGGAGAAACAGTGGATTCCTTCATCACTGCTCTTTACAACTTAGCTGAACATTGTAATTATGGACAGTTACATGAGGAGCTGATTCGTGACAGGCTGGTAGTTGGATTGAGAAACGTCTCCTTGTCTGAAAAGTTACAGCTAGACAGAGACCTCACGCTCCAAACTGCCATAGAAAAGACGAGGCTAGCGGAGGAAATCAGACGACAGCAGTAGGACCTGAGAGGAGAAAATAGTGGATGCTCCAGTGTCGATGCTGTGCATGCTACACCTGCTGGCTACAGAAAGCAGAGGTTTCCGTCCAAGCTGCTACAAGAACAGCTTCCAGGCAGATACAAACCGGCACACGCGCAGCAAAGCACAAGGGCCTGCTATAGATGTGGGAAAATGCCGGTACATAGAAAAGCAGAATGCCCTGCTACTGATGCTGTGTGTCATCGCTGTGGAAAGAAAGGACATTACAGTAATGTATGTAGGAACAGTGCAACCTCTCTGAATGCTGTTACAGCAGATGAAGGGGAAAGTTTTTTCCTTGGTGCTGTGGATGCTGGAAAAGATCCATGGACAGTGCAACTTCAAGTCAGAGATAAAAAAGTGTGCTTTAAGATAGACACAGGTGCTGATGTCACTGCCCTGCCAGTCGAGGTGTACCGTGACATTGCTGGGGGGCTAGATGTGATGCACCTGGCGACATCGACGCGCCCACTGTTTGGACCTGGTGGCAATATACTCAATGTCCTGGGCGTAGCTAAAGAGACACTGCATAGAGGCAAAATGACGGCTGAAGAGGACATTTATGTTGTTAAAGATCTGCACACTGCACTGCTGGGTCGCCCTGCTATTCAACAGCTTCAACTTGTAAGCAGGGTCAACAGCATCACCATGGATACGGTGAAGCGACAGTATCCAAAGCTGTGCAGCGGGCTGGGTCTTGTGCGGAGTCCATATGCACTTAAACTAAAACCAGGCGCAGTGCCCTTTTCTCTTTCAACACCTCGCAGGGTCCCTCTGCCACTCATGCGAAAAGTGAAGGAGGAGATAGATCGCATGGAGAAAATGGGCGTGATCACCAAGATCGAGGAGCCGACTGAGTGGTGCGCTGGGATGGTGGTGGTGCCAAAGAAAGAAGGTACTGTTCGCATTTGTGTCGATTTTACAAAAATGAATGAATCAGTGTGCAGAGAAAAATTTATCCTGCCATCAGTTGAGCATACACTGGGCATGCTAGCAGGTGCAACAGTTTTCAGTAAATTAGATGCCAATATGGGCTTTTGGCAGGTGCCATTAACAAAAGAGTCTGCCAAATACACCACCTTCATCACGCCTTTTGGGCGCTACTATTTTAACCGGCCACAGGAGGAGCATGACAGGCGACTGCATGCAGTGCTTCAGAAAGCACAAGAGGCTGGCATTACACTCAACATGGACAAATGTGCGCTCACACGCCACACAGTTAAATTCCTGGGTCACATGATCTCAGCAAACGGTGTGAAACCAGATCCAGAGAAGACGAGAGCAGTACAAGGGATCGATCCACCTAAAAATGTCAGTGAACTCAGGAGTTTCCTGGGTATGGTCAATCAGCTGGGGCGCTTCATACCTCACCTGGCTGAAAAACACAAGGTTCTACGGGACTTGCTGTCCAAGAAAAATCACTGGTACTGGGGTAAGGAACAACAGGCCGCCTTCGATCAACTAAAAGCTGAATTGTCGTCCCCACCAGTGCTCACATTATATAACCCAAACAGTGCGGTGAAAATATCAGCCGATGCCTCTTCTTTCGGCCTAGGTGCGGTCTTGCTGCAGCAGACTGGTGACAGGTGGTCACCTGTGGCGTATGCATCACGGTCCATGACACCGACGGAGCAACGCTACGCCCAAATAGAGAAGGAGGCACTGGCAGCGACGTGGGCTTGTGAAAGGTTCAGCTGTTTCATCCTGGGAAAACAATTTGAACTTGAAACCGACCACAAGCCGCTGGTGACTCTGCTGGGAGGCAAAGCGTTGGATGAGCTCCCGCCCAGGATCCAAAGATTCAGGATGCGGCTTCTGAGGTATGACTATATAGTCAAACATGTCCCTGGTAAAAGCCTATGGACGGCTGATACCTTATCTCGTGCTCCTCTGAGATCCGTTCAAACACACACAGCCACAAACCTGTTAGAAAACACTGACATATATGTTGACTCTGTCATCAGCAACCTTCCTGTCAGTGGGGACTATCTGGCCAGCCTGCGCGAGCATCTGAAGGCAGACAGCATTTGCTCCACCCTGATTAAGTACTGCACAGATGGCTGGCCTGATAAAAGTCAACTACGAGGAGGGCTGAAACAATTCTGGACTGACAGGGCAGTGCTGACTGTACACGATGGTCTACTGCTACGGGGCACAAGACTTGTCATCCCATCAGCACTGCAAGAAGATGTGCTGCAAAGGCTACACGAGGGGCACTTGGGGGTAACAAAATGCAGAAGCCGGGCCAAGGGGACAGTGTGGTGGCCAGGACTCAGCAGCCAGTTGAACAACATGGTGCTGAAATGCAAAACCTGCATTCAAGAGAGACAGAACATAAAAGAGCCACTGATGCCAACAGCGATGCCCATGAGGCCCTGGCAAACCTTGGGTGCTGATCTGTTCACACTGAGGGGCAAGACTTACCTGATAGTTGTGGACTATTTCTCAAGGTACGTAGAAATTGCACTACTGTCTGCCACAACGTCCACAGAGGTGGTGCTGCAGTTAAAATCCATGTTTGCCCGCCATGGCATTTGTGAATTCTTTAAAAGTGACAATGGGCCTCAGTTCTCAGGTAGCTACTTTAGAGAGTTTGCAGCCAAGTATGGCTTTGTACACATCACAAGCAGCCCCAAGTTTCCTCAGAGTAATGGGGAGGCCGAAAGGGCTGTACAAACTGTGAAAAGCCTGTTAACGAAAGCGTCAGACCCATACCTCACCTTACTGGCCTATAGAGCAACCCCCCTGCAGAATGGATATAGCCCAGCTGAGCTGTTGATGGGACGCCGCCTCCGTACTACTGTCCCCGCTCTTCCGACCCTGCTGAACCCCGTTTTGCCAGACTATAGTGAATTGGGGGCCAAAGAAGAGGAGAAGAGGAGGAAGGATGCTGGATACTTTAATAAGCGCCACGGGGCAAGGATCCTGCGCCCACTCTTACCTGGAGAGGATGTGTGGGTCACTGATGCGCGAGTCCAGGGAACAGTGATATCACAACATAGCACTCCTCGCTCCTACATTGTTCAGGTGCCCCGAGGCACTCTGAGGAGAAACCGATACCATTTGGTGCCATTGCAGACCAACAACGGATTGGTCGATGCTAAACCACAGGTGGGTTAAGAGCCGCCAACTCCAGAGGCCCCACTTGCGACATCAGCACCTACCATTACAGGGACCATGCGGACCAGGGCCGGGAGAGAGGTCAGACCTCCGAAGAGACTGGTAACCCTATGAGACTTTGAAAAAAAAATCGGACATGAAAAAAAAAAAAAAAAAAAAAGAGAAAAAATGAAAAAGAAATGTGATTGTATTTTGTTCTTAAGATGTGAATGCTGTAATTGATCTGCTTTAAGATACTTTAGTAGGAACCGGATATTTAAAGTAAGTATTTGTTAAAGAGAAAAAAAAAAAAACAAGTAGTTTAGTCAAGTGTTTTTTTTGGTGTTCATGTGTGAATCAGGGACAGAACAGGTCCTCCAGCTAAACTTTTAAGATCTGCTGGTACAAAGGCTGTCTACCCTTTTGTTCCAAAGAAAGGGAGATGTGGTGTAATGCTATGTGACGTCTTTTACTTTGAAAAGCAACAGAATATAGAGCAGGGGTTTTCCGGTCCCTAACAGCTGTTTGTAATTTAAGTGTATGTGAGACAAAAGCTGCAGCTCTGTGTGAGATACTTATCACTAAATAAAAGAACAACTTGACAATACTTTTTGTAACATTACGACAATGAAGTCATCATACATCAACCCGTTTCAGAAAGAAAGCTTGGAGCTCCGCCCAGCAGATGACGGCCGACCAGCTCCACTAATCAGCAACCAGAGTCCACTTTGACATCCTGCCCAGATTGATGCTGCTGCTAAAAGATTTCCTGATTTGTCAAACTGATGCTAAAGTATAACTTCACATGATGCTCCACATTCCTCATTTTAGGGAAGAAACGGCTTCTTTTAAGAGTTGTCATAGAATACAACTTGTTTCTCATAATGTTACGACTTTATTCTCTTAATATTGCAACTTAATTCTCGTGATTTCATGACTTTATTCTTGTACTATTACTATTTTATGCACGTAACATTACAACTTTATTCTCATAATATTACAAATGTATTCTCAACTTATGTGGGAAAATATGAAAAACAATTTTGCAAAAAGTCAGATTATTTTACTGACTGTAGTTCTGCAGTCCACCAGTAGGTGGCGACATGTTCACCTGAAGCTTCATGAACTGTGGGTATTATTGAAGCAACTTGGCCAAACGGTTCATGAGGCTTCATCTCACTACTGATGAGCAATGACCGTGAACCATGACGTCACATGGACCCTCTGTGTTCTACTCTGCCTCATACTCACCCTCAGGGCAGCTATATCCGAGGGGAAGCCGTGGATAATAAGAACCATCTCCCTAAGCAACGCAGGGAAACAGATGCACGTTAGATCCGCTGCTCCTCCTGAACATGACAGCAGAAGAAGAAGAGCGGCATATTTACCACGGCCCTCTGCCGCTGGTTCTCTTTGCGCCTCCTTTGTGCCTCCCGGCGTTGTGCTGTCCAATCCGCCGCTCAGGATTCACCGTGAAGCCGATGTAGATGCGGCCTTTGAATTTTGGGTTTGTGCAGTAAAGCATGTACACACCGTAGAAGCTTTCCACCTCCACTACCATTATAAAAAAAAAAAAAAGTTTAAGCCTCCTCAAAACCGGCAGCTAGCGTTAGCTAAAAACAAATATAGCTATCGCCGATAAACCCGTGAAATAATATGTAGAAAGTTAGAAACCGGTACCATTTAAATGCTGTTGTTGTATGTTTTCCTCTGTGAACAGTTGATCTCTGGCTTAGTGGGCCGTTAAGATGCCTGATCAAAAAATGTGTAAAGAACTCTCCATACTTCGCTCTTTTAAGAGAGAAAACAAAAATGTTATTATTTGATTACTAACTAATAAATGACATCGCGCGGCGCTCAATTAAATCATTATAATTAGTGCTAGAAAATAAAAATAAAAACTGTCCCTCTGTAAGGACTCCTATTTTGACACCGATTGGTTGTTTTGAACACCAGCGTAAAAGCTTTAGGATGTCCCTGATTGGTTAAAGTTCTGAAAGCTACAATTCAATTGGCTGATTTGTGGGATTCAAGGGCGGGGCTACGGAGTGACGTTTGTGCTATCCGGCGTCCAGTGGGTGCAACTAGCAAAACACAGGTAGCGTTCAGTTCTTTAAAGCTTGTATATAATTACCATTCTTTAGAAATAATAAACCGTTTAATACCGAACGGTTCTATATGTCTTCATTGTTTGAAAAATAAAAATAAGTCAGTTCTAGAAATGTTTACACATGTGGTGTTTCGCCATTCTGTGTTTCTCTGTTATTTTGTTCCAAATAGACATGGCAGTATCAGCGGATCACATCCGGGATAAGCTAACCAAGGAGCTGGGGGCAGTGCACGTGGTGGGTCTCCGTCTCCATGGGTGATGCTTCGCGTTGAACTATCTTGCAGAGCAGAATCTTCTCATTGATATTTATTAGTGATGTTTTAGTGAGGCATCTTGAAGCCAAAATGTGTTGCTACTGTCTCACAGAATACTGACACCTGCTGGACATTTAAAGACACTACAGGCAGTTTATTGGACTAAACTGAATTGATTTGATGACCTAGTGCACTGATATAATTTAAGTTATTATAGGTTATAATGTATTATTTCGTATGTATGTTTAAATTGAAAATATCTTTGATATTTTTAGATGCTGCCAATAAATAATGTAAACATATAAGGTGAAAATTAAGGGGGAAATGTGAACAAGGATGCTTTTGTGGACTAGGATTTTAGATCATGATTTTAAAACAATAAGCACAGTAAAAACAGTAAATAAACTAAGAGTCAATTTGAATTTTAACTTTAATTCAGTCATTCTTTTATGACTTTTGTTTCATAATGTTACAACTTAATTCTCGAAATACAAGAAAAAGAAATCTCCAGCCTGGCCCTAATACTCCGTTGTACTTAATAAATAAACAAACTACTGTATCTTTTTCTTATATAGAAAGAATTTAAGTTCAGTTTTCCATAGTTGTTTGTGTTTGGGAGCCTCTAAGTTGGGGTCCTAAGGGGGGCCCAGATCTCTGATCACATACTGACTTTTATTCATTTTATTTTGCACATTGCATATTATCGCTATATATATAGTTACATATGTATGTATTAATATTTTTCATGTGTCATTTTGTGATTTTGTGTATATATATATATATATATATATATATATATATATATATATATATATATATATAGTTATTTTGTTGGGGGTTTTTTATACCTGGAGCGTGTAACGAAGATAATTTCCCCATGGGATCATTCAAGTATTTCTGATTCTTGTGTTTTTTTCAGGACGTAGAGGACACCTCCCCCGGCAGATGTGCGGCTAGCTTCAAAGTCCTGGTGGTGTCACCGCAGTTTGAGGGTAAACCGCTGTTACAGAGACACAGGTATGATGTTTGTTGTAACTTTTTGATCTGAAGACAGATTTGATTAATCCTGCCTTTTAATTTACTTAATTATTTATTTAATATGGACAGTGATGTAAAATTCAGCTTGATTAAAAGCAGAAGTCGCAATATACTCAAGGGGGATTCTGTCACAGGAAATCAGCTAAAAATATGTTATATTATAAATTTAATACGAAAGTAAAAATATCCAACCACTTAGTAACAATTTTATGGAGTTTTAGCGACAATGATTTGTTAAAAAAATAAAATAAAATCACAATATTACCAAGAATCAATTTATAATTTAACTCAAAAACTCGATTTATATCTGCAAAAAAAAAAAAACCTAATAACTGAAAGTCCAAAACGTTTTTATTTTTAATAATAATGTCCACAAAGCAGTTCCAAATGACAAAACAAAGTCCTGGAAGTGTTTAAGTCCAAAGTCTGTTCCAAAATAATAAAAAAAAAAAAACCTAACGACCCCCCCTTAAGTTTCATAACGTAAGGGGGAGGGGGCGGGGTTATTACACTTTAAATGATTACTTTAAGTGTAATCACACTTTAAGTAATTCCTAAAGGAAATAAGAATCAGTTATTTAAAAGAACAACACATAGATACAGAAAGAAAAAAAGTTCAATAAAAAGGCAGGTTTTAGTCCAGCAGATGTTGCACAGTAAGAAGAAGTCTGGAAAATTCTAGATTTTTGTATTTTACAGACCTGGATATATTAATCAATCAATGAATGAATGTATCTATATATCACTTTACTGAAATTCATTGTTGGTGAAATCAGTATTAATAAAAACAACAAAACGGCATAAACAAACCAGAGATTTAAGCACATACTTACAAGACGACTCACCCCCAAAAAAGCTGTATAACAGGGGTGTATTTAGGGAATTTGGGGCCCTAGACAAAGACAGGCAGGGGGCCCTCTGAATTTAAGAAGACAACACATCAAACAGCCCCATTCTCCAGATAGAGAAATGTTAATAGAATAGACATCCATTATCTGTTCTAGGTTGTGTCCCTCTATTCTTGTCCCTTTTCTTCTTGTTTTCCTCTCTATGTTTTGTACTCAGCTGACTTTTCATGCTGTCTCTAAAGGAATGAAAGATTTTTTCCAAGCACTAAGCTCACTTAGCTGATTGCTCCTTCCTGTGTTTCCAAAAAGGCCAAAGTAAATAACCCAGTCCTTCTTTTCACTGTAGACAAGCCATGATCTGCTTATCTGTTCTCCATTTTTCATTTGGATGAAATAATAGCTGCATGAATCATGACAGCAGACAAGATAGAGGAGAGCAGGAGGCGGGGTTACCAATCTACTCGCTCTGGAGAGCAGAGTTCGCTGCTTTTAGATGTTGTCTCCAAAGTCTCCAGTAGCAGAAAAAAGTCTCTAGATTTGGCGCTAGGAGCTTTTTAGAAATCAAAGTGCTAGAGGGGTCTGAAAAGTGGCTAAATATAGCGACTAAAGCGCTAAGTTGGCAACACTGCTCTTTGCATGATTTGTTTTCAAATGGTTTGCTGCTGTCTGTTTGGACCTTTCTGCACATGTGCAGCAAATGGACTGATCCAATATGGTGGACACTGAAGGGGGGGGCTGAGACACACTTAATATTATCAGCGTTCTGATGGAATTTAGTGAAAGGATTTTTATCAAAAACATAATTAATGTGCACAAATAAGGAATAGTTGTATTAACCAGACATATAGAGTTTTACCAGAAACGTGGGCCCCTAAACTGTTTGTTTGGTGCCCTCTTCAGGTGATAAGCAATACTGATCATTGGTAATTTAGATAATTCAACATTTGCTCCATTTTAAAGGTTAATAATAAAAAAGGAAATGCAACAAAATTGAATAAAAAAGTGTTCATCATCTATCTTGTCTAGTTCAAGGATTTGATGTCAGTTTTTGTGTCTTTCCGTCATGTGACGTAAAAAATGTTGGAAATTCAGGTTAATATAGATGAAAACAAAAAAGGAAATAAAAAAAATGGACTTCATGGAGGGTAAAGTGTGCCGTCTGTTTGCAGGATGGTGAACACGTGTCTGGCGGAGGAGCTGAAGGAAATTCATGCGTTTGAACAGAAGACCCTGACGCCAGAGCAGTGGGACAAACAGAAGCTACAGTGACACATTTCCTCCTAGAGCCTTGAGAGTTTGGGAACATTGAAGGTTAAAGTGCTTCAGTCATCTTGTTGCTGCTACTAGTGCAAATAAAAAACAAATTCCTCCCCTGTCTTTGGATGAATCCTTTGTTTTTTATCTTACAGTGAAGAGAACAATAAATGGTTTATCGATGCTGCGTCAGCGGCATGACCAGTTAGGTGGGTTAGCTTCCCAGCACTGCACTGGTAATCAGAAGAAAGTCACATCAGAAAAACATTTAATGTAATTTTAATATAAAACTTTATTTCTTTGCAAACCTTAAAAAAGTAAAGCAAATCTTCTTCTAATTTCTGCTGGAAGAAACTTGGAAGGTCAAATTTGCTGGAAATGTTTGTTTCTCCTGAATGTTTTGCCTTAAATGTAAAAAGGCCTGAACTTATAAAGTGCTTTGTTCAAGTCTCCTGACCTGACATTACATCCAGTCATTCACTGCCGCTGTAGGTACCAGATTGACACGGGGGCCTGCGCCTTTTGATGACGTCACAATACATAATTGTTTTAACGTTTGCACAATTGCGCAAAACATTTTGATTGGTCTGGACAGCTTACTAAAGTCATTATAGCGGGGTGTAGGTTTTATTCGAAAGCGGGATTGCGGTTTGTAAACGGACAATTTTACGGAGAAATTCTCCATGGTCCCTGCGCCTTCCGATGACGTCACCGAATTCGCCATGGGCCTTGTGCCTCCCGATGACGTCACATTATGGCAACGCCACTCAAACAGACTACATTGAGCCCACGGTCTGCATTTGTAACGAGAATAAATTCAGGAGAATGAAGCTAAAGGGATACAAAAAATAAACTTGTAATATTACAAAACCAAAAATACTACGAATACAAAGTATATTCAGAGATTAAAGTCCCTCTGATACTGTTTAAGTGACTGAGAAACTGCAGATTTGCCACATTTAAGATGGCGGACGCTCTGACGCATCTCAGCGTAGGCAGATCCCGCCCAATGACGCGTCTACGGACAGTGCCAAACGATTACCGTTTATTGGCTAAATAAAATAGATTTGTGACAAATAGAGACCGCGGGCGCAATGTAGTTTGTTTGAGTGGAGTTGCCATATTATGACGTCATCAAAAGGCGCAGGCCCCCGAGTCAATCTCGTACCTACAGCGCATTGATGGTGGCAAATTACATCGTAGCTGTGCTGGGCCTCGCTGACACCAGGCTGCCATATACAGACGCCACTGTCACCCTGACAAAGCTTAAGGCTTCAGGCCAACTTAATCAGGCCCAGATCCAGTTATAACCTGCAGGTGGGTTCAATATCTATAAACCAGGGAGGTTTGGGGACAGGAAGAAAAGAAGAAATGAAAGAAAACCAGCTGGTGGAATCTAAGGATACAAGAAAATGTTTTTTTCACCATTTAAAGCCTGTTAGTAAATGATCACATCTTTATTAAAGATACGGTTTCCATGATGGGTTTTCTCTGGTGTCACCGTGTTTATCCTCATAAAGGTTTCTCCTCATGTAGCCTGGCTGGATGTAGTGATTTATGATAGGATCTACTTCCAGGTTTTCTTTTAATTTCTTCTGGAAAAAAAAAAATACTGTTTCTTATGGAGCCCCCTAGGGGACATGGGGAATTTTTTTTTTCTTTTGCGTTACCTCGCAAAATTCTGCGTTACCTCGCGAAAGTTTTGCGTTCCCACACAAAACCTTACTTCGGTAAAATTGAAAAGATATTCACAGATTCGGACTTCCAGGATCAATAACTCTCGTTGAATCACAAATGGCGCCTCTTTCATGCCTGATAGCACAGACTAGGTATTACAAGAATCAAAAAGCGTTATTTTCGAGAAAAACGAGCCGTTCTCCAACCGTCTGCAAAAGGTAAAACAACAGCAAAACATGGCAAATAAAAATCAATAACTCCACTGCCATAAAGTGCAGAGACTCCAAAATCACCACACGCACCAAGGGGCTCTTGGTGACCGCGGAATTGATCCCTGAAGTCTGAATCTGTGAATATCTTTCTAACTTTACCGAAGTAAGGTTAGGGTTAATTTTCGCAAAAGGTTTTGCGAGGTAACACAATACTTTTGCGAGGGAACGCAAAAGAAAAAAAAATTCCCCATGTCCGCTAGGGGGCTCCGTATTTTCTGGAAGAAATGGAAAAAAAAAACTTTTCTTCCAGTTTCTCCTGGAAAGAAAATCAAAAAGCGTTCTTACAGTTTGCTGGTGAAGATTCTCAGTCATCCAGGTCATTCCATAAAAAAAGAAAATTAAAAACAGTATGAATTTGAATTGAAAAAGCTTCCTGTATTGGAAGAATAACGTCGCAAAGAGAATAGTCTTAACATTACAAGAATAAAGTCGTAACTTTGTGAGAATAAAGTCGTGAAATTACGAGAGTAAAGTCATAACATTACAAGAATAAAGTAGAAAATTACGAGAAAGAGTCTAAAAATCATGAGAGTAAAGTCGTAACATAACGAGAATAAAGTAATACAAATACGAGAAAATAGTCGTAAAATTACGAGAATAAAGTCGTAATACTACGAGAATAAAGTCACAAAATTACGAGAAAAAAAGTTGTAAAATTATAAGAATTAAGTCGTAAAATTACGAGAGTAAAGTTTTAACATTACGAGAATAAAGTCATAAAATTACTAGAATAATGTCACAGAATAATTCAGATAATAAAGTAAAAAATCTTGGTGTTATTTTTGATCAGGACCTGTCATTTGAATCCCAGATCAAAGAGGTTTCTAGAATTTCTTTCTTTCATCTGAGGAATATTGCAAAAATGAGCAATCTCCTGTCCAGGGGTGATGCTGAGAAACTAGTCCATGCATTTGTTACTTCAAGGCTGGACTATTGTAATTCTTTACTATCAGGAAGTCCACAAACTAGTTAAAAGCCTTCAGCTGATCCAAAATGCTGCAGCCAGAGTTCTGATGAAAATGAAAAAGAGAGATCATATCTCTCCTATCCTGGCTTCTCTTCATTGGCTTCCTGTTAAATCCAGAATCCAGTTATACCAACATTGTGAAAAATATATCATAATTTCGCATTCCAGATTGAAAAAAAACTAAATTCTCTATCAAAATGCTCTATCTAGAGCTCCTCAGGTGGAAAGGTTTGAGTTTCACGTGGTTTAATTTAATAAAAAATCTTCTTTGGCTATCTGATTATTAATCGAAAAAATTATCAACATATTAATTGTTTTGCAAAGTTAGATTAGATTCCAACTTAAACCTCTATTCCATAGTGAAAAAAATAAGGAGAATCCAGAACCTCCTTCTATATAAAAGCGTTTTTTTTGCACCATGTTTTTTTCCACCACACTGTTCACATTTGGTCACTGCTGCATTTTAAGAAATGGAAATGTCATGAAAGCTTTACAAAATGAAATATCATTTTCTATACACTTTGCGTATACAAAACGACAATAAAAGTCGTCTATGTTTATTTATTTATTTGTTTTTAAATAAGAATAATAATCAAATAGCAGTCCTTATTTTGTGGCCTTTTTATGCTGAAGTTCTTTCCAGGTAGAATCTATGGCAGGTAGTTCTACGCATCAATACACACACTGGAAAAAATCGAAATCTAGATAAGTCATTTTTTCTCAAAATAAGTGCATTTGTTCTTGGATTGAGGAGGTAAAAGAGACATTTTGCCAATGGAACAAGACAATTTACACTTAAAATAAGAAAACACAATTGCACTGTCTTATTTCAAGTGCATTTTATCTAATGATCTTATTCTAAGAGTAAAAATACTCATTCTATTGGCAAACTGCCCGATTTACATTCTAAAATTAAGGGTAAATACACTTAATTTAATACATTTTTACTTATTTCTAGATCGTTTTCCCAGTGCACTGGAAAAAATCTAAATCTAGATAAGTGATTTTTTTTTTCTCAAAATAAGTGCATTTGTTCTGAGATGGTAAAAGAGACATTTTGCGTATGGAACAAGAAAATTTACAGTTAAATAAGAAAAGACAACTGCGTTGTCTTATTTCAAGTGCATCTTATCTAATCTTTATCTTCTTTTAAGAGTAGAAATACTCTATTTACATACTCAAAATAAGGGTAAATACACTTAATTTAAACATTTTATACTTATTTCTAGTTCATTTTTCCAGTGCATCAGGTGGTTTCTGAAAGTTACAGGTTCTTTGAAATTACTCTGAAAATTAGACAGAAATATTCATATATTTGAACATTTTACTTTTAAAAACAAGTACTTTGGTACTTTAACTTGAGTAGATTTCGCTATGAGTATCAATACTTGTACTCAAGTACTACTTGTGAGTACTTCATCCTTCACTGTGCATCACATTAAGTTAAACTTAAGGATCATCAAGATTTTATATATATATATATATATATATATATATATATATATATATATATATATATATATATATATATATATATATATATATATATATTTCCAGATCAATAAGTCCTCTATTCTTTTATTCTATCAGTTTTGTGGCTCGTGTTATAGACGTTTTATGTCTGAAGGTTACATAAAACAGTTTTCTTTTGTATCTATGCTTCTTTTTCTATGTCTGCTTCTTTTTCTCCTTGAACCCCAGTGGGCCTCAGCAGATGGCCGCTCACACTGAGCCTGGTTCTGCTGGAGGTTTCTTCCTGTTCAAAGGGAGTTTTTCCTCTCCACTGTCGCTCCAAGCATGCTCAGTGTGAGGGATTGCTGAAGAGTCAATGAGTCGATGCAATCAGCTGGTTTTCCTTAGATAGAAAACTTTGAATCAATCTGACTGGATGATCTGGTTGAACTGTAAAGTGACCTGAGATGACATGATGTGAATTGGCGCTATAGAAATAAACTGAATTGAAATCAAATTAAAAACAATAGATGTGGTGGATGGACCTGTAGAAGGTTCCGGTTTATCTCAATAAATCAGCAAAAAGCTTCTTTTTTTTCTCCATTTAATAACATGCAAAAAGGTAATGAATATGAATGAGGTGAATAAACATGTTTCTGCCTTTAGTGCACATGTGTAGATATCCATGGGGGTAGAGAGCTGTTAATAAGGGAAGGCAGACCTCCTGCCTGTCCTATTTTTAGCACTTTGACTGC